AAATGCATTACCAAAGTAAGAATGTTCCCTGTTTACTGGTCTGTGCCATGATAATAAATTTGGATTTTCTGAAGAAAGGTGAATTTTATTTAAATAAGTGTAAGCTCAAAACAACTCAGTACATCTTAGCCTTGTAGAAATCACATTCCTCGAAGGGAAAGCTTGTGCCTGCTGCCAGAGTCCACCATACATCATGTGCTATATATTAAAGTATATATATATATATATATATATATAAAGATTTATTTATTTATATAAGAACTGGGGTACAGGCCAGAGGCGCTGGAGGGTGAGAGAATTCACCAGGGACAGAGCAGGCAGACGGACCAAAAACACTGCTGATGGGTGCAGCGGGTGAGACAAGAGAGGTCTGCCGTGCCTTGTGGGTATCTCCCTGGCCAGTTGGGAATAAAACCTGTGCTGCAGAGGCTGTGGATGGCTTCAAAGCACTGCGCTAAATCTGCTGAGCCACTGGAGAGGCCCTAAACTTTTTTATATTAACAAAACACATTTATTACTTGATTGAGGGCAACATAAATGCTTATTGAATCAAATTTTTTATATCTAATATTTTTGTGACCTATAAATTTTTTCCTGTGATTGAAGATGTGACTGAAAGAACAAATCCATTACCTCCTTAAAAATCCTTCATATATGGCTCTCTTGCCCACCTGTGTCTATACATGTGCCTCTCCTTTTTTCTCCTTTTCCCAATAAACCTGTCCTTTTAAAATTTTTTACAAAAATCCTTTATATCAGTTCCGGGATAAGACCTTAAATCATTCCCATGATACATAGGGCACTCCGTTTTTGACTCTGGTTTCTCAAGTTCCGCCCCCAAAAGGCACCACAGACATGCCTATTGTCTTGGCTGTCTGAATACTCTTCCTTGTCCTTCTTGTGGGGCAACTCCAAAGTAGCCCCCAAAAGTTCCCCAGTACTTCCTCTTTTACCGGCAAGGACTGTATTTTCTATATTTATGACAAAGCAGGTGCTGGTCTCTGTTGGGTAATCTGTAAATGCTAGTTGAATTGAATTAAAGTGTACATGTGACTGGAAAGGTTTTACAAAATACTGTGTCAATAATTGAATTGCCTGATGTTTGAAAAATGCAAATGTATTTGTCATCTGGGCTTACTTAAAATATGTGATTCTTCAAAAGACACTAGTTTTAACATTTTGAAGAAATTATGCTTCTTGAAAGAGACTCTCAGAGAATCTAAGAGGCTTTCACAGTCTAGACTAGCTCTATAATGACACTGCCATCCAAACAAGGTGCAAGTCACATTATGGAAAATGTCTCATCACTAGGCAAAGTGGTGAGTCATTCAGATGGGTCATCACATTTTATTTAAAAATTTTAGTTAAATTTTTTTTAATGTGCAATAGAGAAAAGTGCTTAGAGTAGACATATGTTTGAGTATATCCCCCAAATTTCTAGCAGAGCAGCAGAATTCTGCTACAAGCTGACAGGTGGCCAGTTTGAGCAGTGACCTCATACTACAGGCATTGTGATTGAGATTATTATTTCCTGCAGTTGTTTGCTAAAGAATGATTTCTAAAATTGAGGTTATGCATTGATGTAATTTGTGCTTAACTACATAGTAAACTAGTCAAGTCAAAACACAGTAACAATAAGAAAATTCATCAGGAAATCTAGTACTGTGGAACTGAGGAGAATAAAGAAACAGTGAAACAATAAAAGAATTAGCTTCCAAGATTGGAACTAAGTGAGTGTTTTAAAAATAATGCAGTTGAGTTAATATTTAATTCATTTTTCTTCAGCATAATTGCCCTGATTAGAATATTTTTTAGTTGATGGAAAGATGTTAGATGATCTTTTCAATATAAATATTTTCTGATAAATTCCTAAGAAATGCACGTTAGGAAGAAAGCATGAATGGTTGCTCTGAAATTGTGTTATTCTCACTGAGATGGTTATGTTCTCTTTAATACTAGATCAACACATTTAGTTTTCAGTGGGAAAAAAGGAAGAAAGTGAATGGTCATGGTGGTATTTGTCAGGGAATATAAAAAAAGGGTGAAGACAGATGGATAGAAAGAAACCTGAATTCATTCTTAGATAATGATCAAAAGGTGAGAGGAAAAGAAAATTTGTTTTTAGATGAAAGAAATTTAAGGTTAAATGGAAGTATGTGATAAGGATGAGATTATTTTCTCACATTTTCTATAATCTAACGTTTATTGCTGAGAAATGCAATGTTTTGAGCTGAGTAAAGTCCCAGCTATAAACAAATGTGTAAAATATAGTAATCCAATGTTTAGTACATTTGTTAATTAAAAAAAAAAAATTCTAGATTTCATTCTGTTTGTCTTGGCCTGTCTTTGCTTTTGCAAGATGTCATTAATTTTAGGATTGTGCTTCTTAGCTTTACTTCAGTAAAACTTTCTTTGGGTTTGACTACCTGATCCTTTCAATTTCTATAATGATCCAACATCTTATCATTAACAGGAAATTGTCCTCTGAGTTTCAAAGTGATTTTGCTTATTTTAATTTTCCAACTTCTAAAAGACTTAGTTTCTTATGGAAATTACAGATCCTGGGATTTCTAGGGCAGAACTTACTGGGAATATTTTTATCGTATTAGATCACATGAACTTTTTGGTTAATAATACATGGTCACCTTATCTGCTTGTGGCCTCCACTCCCTTATCATTCACCTATTCACTGGAATCTTTAACTGCTTTTTCATTTTTTTGTTAATATATTCTGAAATTATATTTTCAAAGGTAACTTTATTGTCAAATACAGTGTTTTTTTTTTTTTAACCACCTTAACCTCTCTTTAGTTTTTTCCTTAACCTCTCTTTAGTTCTACTCACTGGCCTTTCTTCTTGAAAATATCTAGGATCTGAAAGATGGAGGAATTTAGTTCTCTTCCAACATATTATATTGTCCTTTGTCTTATATGAATCCTCTTCTGCCTCACTCTAGCCTCATTCTTTCAAATTGTAAATGGTTTACTTTCTTATGGGCTGCTGGAGCCATTCAGACATCTTTATGGCTCAGGAATATTTTGTAAGCATATCCTACTCCACTCTTTACTTCTAGGACACTTCCAGGCTCAAATTATTGCCTTCTTTCAAATTTCAGTTCAATTTATACCTTTTCCCTGAAGATTGCCCTCATCACGGTAATTCATTTTCCTTTCCTTCTCCGGCACTTGACTCTCACTACCTCATGTTAATAAACTGTGTTCATGTCTCACTTCCTACTTAGAATGCAAAATGTGTGAGGATAAGGACTGTGCTTTAGTTGTCTTTTTCGGTTGTTTGCTTGATAGGGGACAGTGAACATAATATTGAATATTGGTTCATCGAAAAAAGGCACAGCACATTCCATGGTTTCAACACAACAAAGTCAATATGTACATTACGTTTAGGTGTGGTATGCATATTATTTTTCTTTTTTCCTTGATTGTGACTGACAATTCTTGTTCTAAAAGTACCACGTGCAACTTTTAGTAGAAGTAATGAAATAATTAAAAGATAAGAAAAGCAGGCTTATAGGAGATAGGGGAAATGGATATTTAAAAGGTTGCATTATGAGCCAGGCAGTGTACTTTGCACCGCAAAGATTTCTTTCAGCAGACTCAAGAAACTGAAGTCCATGAGGTTAATCAAGATCCCACAAAAAGCAAACGGTTTTGCTGCTAATTCCAAAGGGTAGGGCAGTTTCAGTGCTGGATGATTGTAGGAATCAAATGACACAATTTCTTCAAAAAGAAGTAGGCAAGTAGCTGGGTTCAACAAATGTTAATCTGATAACGCCTGTCAGAGAATCGGCCTTACTTCAACAGGAGGGGAAAAAAAGTGGTTGAATGAATTATATTTATGTCTAGCTCTAAGAAAGGGTCATGTTTGATTACAACAATCCTATATTCTTTGTCAAGCAGAGGCCAGAAAAAAGTGCCTGACAATATTTCAGATCCAGACTATTTCTTTCCCCGATCAGGTAACAAATTGTACTTATATATACAAAAGAGGACAAAGTTACAAAGTTGCCTGTAGCTAACAGAGAATAAAGGAACCGCGCCGTTTATTTCTGTGAAACAGAATTAATTCTGTGCCTAGTTTCCCGGCCCCCCTCTTTCCCCTCCCCCGATGAAGAAGAAATGCTTCTCATTGGTAAGGAATTTTGCATAGCAAACTGCTGGATCCCAGGAGCAGCTAGGCATTCGAAGGTCGAAATCAACCTCTCCAACTCTTCCAAGTTCCCCAGAGCCAGCTGCGCCACAGAAAACACCGCAACGCTGCTGCGGAAAGTGGGACAAGCCAGACTCCCGCCTATCAGCGAAAACCCTCTATACAGATCTGAGGCCACAGATCACACGAAGCCCCCGTGCCAGCTGCTCTGAAGCTCAGGGCGGAGGAGGACTAGCTGCAGCCCCTCCGCCTTCTCCCACTTCCGCCCGCCACACCTGGCCCCGGGCGACTCGAGACCCCGCTCGTGACGTCACCGCACCTGGCAGCGACCAGGGGGTCCGGCGGTGAGTCGCGGTGAGTCGCGGCGCGGCGCGGCGGGGGCGGGGCGGGGCACGCGAGGGATTCTCGCGAGATTTGCGGCCTCCCGGGCCCAGCTCCCAGCACTTTCGCGTCCTCTGTCCGAAACCCCGACGGTCTCCGGCGTCGCGCTCTGGAGCCGCGGGCGTCGAGGGCGCGGCGAGGGGCGGGCTTCGAGGCGGGCTTCGCGGCTCCGCGGGCGCTGCGGGTTGGCGCCGTCGCTGGGACGCACCGGCAGGTCCCACCCGCCCCGCCTGAGCGACCGCGGCGGAGCGGCCGCCGCCTGGGTGGGCGGGGAAGGGCCTTCTGACCGCCGCGGCTTCGGCGAGGCCAGACGTGAGGCGCCGCCGCCGCTGCCCGTTCCTCGCGGGCTGGGCTGACGGGACGGTCCGGGAGCCCCGCGGCGCATGGAGGCGCCTCCTCGCCCCGCCTGAGCTCAGGAGGGGCAGCAGCGGGGCGCAGGCCGCCTCCCGCCGCGAGAGCGGCCGCGCGAGCAGCTGGAGGAGGAGCAGCGGGCGCCGGGCTTCTCCCCGCGGGAGCCCCCAGCATGGGTAAGTCACTCGAGGGCGCTTCCCGCCGCCCGGCCGGACGCCCCGGATTTGCGGCTCCCCCTCTCGGGTGCGCGGCCGGGGCGGGGAGCTCATCCTCCCCGCGGCCCCGACCGCCCCGCCGCACACCTGGCTGTCGGGGCGGAGGCAGTACTGCGGGGCTGGCTGGCTGCCCTCGCGCCCATTCCCCGCCGCTTGCCCGGCTCTCGGGGGAGATGCAGGAACGGGAGGGAACGCCCGGTCCCCTTTGCTCGCCAGCTGCCCGGGAAACTCTGCCCCCAGAGCCCCTGCCCTTCCTCAGCGCCCCCTCCTGAGCCACCACCCGTATCCAATGGGGGAGGAAGATCCACAAACTGGACAAAGTAGCACTTTCAACTTCATTTATCTTCGGGTAGCCTTTATATAGGTCGGCCTTTCAAGAAGGATGTTTTTGGGGTTTGGTGGGTTGGTAGAAAAGGCCATTTTATTCCCTACTGTAATTGTTGGGGATGCCTCAAGGACAGGGAATCTTGAATGTTTACTCTGTTTCCACCTAGGCGGGCGTGTTGGCATTTAAATACTAAATCTCTTCCTGAGACCTGGGTTGCGTTTGATAGGATTTTAGTGTTGAACCCTTTGAGGAGCAGTTTCCTGTTTGGAGTTAGACTTCCTTGCTAGAGAAGGGGTAAAAAAAAAAGGACAAGGCCTTAAATATGTTATTTACTGTGTGCTTTAAAGTTTGTTTGGAGCTAGAGAAAGCAGAATGTGTTGCATGCAGCCTGGTTTGAAAGGGAGTTTTGTTGAGTCGTGTAACAGTTCTTCTGATAATCAAGTTCGCTGTGGTCTAGCGCTGTGTCTCTAAATCTTTTCAAAAGTAAGAACAGTTTAAAAGCGATTTGCTTAAAAGAAAGTCAAATCGGTGTTCCCAAAAGGTGTAAACGTGTTTTGTGAGAGTAATCAGTTTTGGTTTTGCGGAGTAAAATGAGGAAGATGCGTTCACTTTTTGCACCTGAAGAAATTTCGGTACTGTGTCATATCGACCTACTATTAGCCAACATCAGTAATTTATGAAATTAACATGATTTAGAAGCAGGACAGATAGACAATACTGCTGATGTGGCATCTTTTGCCCACACGTTGTTCTATGGGGAAAGCTTCAAGCTTAGTGTTTATAGACACTCTCAAGCTCTTCTGTGTTTTCTTAGATTTTCTGCTTTTATGTTTTCCTGTCTCTGTCCTGCTTTCAGGTAACATTTTTTTAACACAAGGTGCCCTAATTCATACAGTAGAGCCTTTGCGATTTGGGACGCTTAAATGATTTTCTGATTAGTTGAGTTTATTTACTATCTAGTAGAGGATTTAATCCTTGAAGCATCAAATTTTAAAACTACCTTAATTGCTTTGGGTGAAAATCATAATAAAATAAGATAAGCAATTTTCTTAAACAGGATGGGGAATATAATTAATATAATTAATATAGTTTAATGACTTGATGACCCATGTGACTCAGTTATTGTGATGCCTTGAGGCTCTGTTGGATTATATATAGAACTGTTGATCAGTTTCCTCTGAAGTTTTGAAGTTATTTGAATACTTTTTTTTTTTCTGTTTTGCTATTGGATGTGGTTGTCACTGTGATCTGTAACCCTCATATCCTTTAATGTTTCTGTAAGTATGGAAATCATATTCAAGTTTGTAATTCTGTGTAAGGCAAAAATAAGTAGACCTTTATGTGTGAGAGCTTCTCAATAAAAATAAATGAATATCAGTACGTGGACACTGGATATCTATTTTAATTGTCCAGAAGCCCTTAGTGACTTCTTTGCTGCACTCTGATGAATGAGTTACCATATTTTCTTGGTGAAGGGTGATGTTTATATACTCTGAACCTAAGTAATCAGAATGTGTTGAAGGTGTTACTTAGGGCGGTAACTTCTAGTTAATTTTTGAAAAGTATTTCATATGAATGTATTTATTCATGCATACACAAAATGGGGTACAAGCCAGAGGTGCGGGGTTGGGGGAGAAGATGGTGGTGAGAGGATTTACCGGAGACAGAGTGGGGAACAGAACAGGTGGATTTTACTGAAATACACTGCTGAGGGGAGCAATGGGCAAGACAGGAGGGGTCTGCTGTGCCATGTGGGCAGCTCCCTGTCCAGGGATGGAATTCCTGCTGCAGAGGCTGCGGATAGCTTCACAGTGCTGTGCTTAACCCCTTGCGCCGCCAGGGAGTCCCTGAATGTATTTTTTAGATTTATTGGTCATTTGATAATTCATGTTGAAATTATCAAAATCATTAAAAGGGAGTTTCCTGGGCCTCCCTGGTGGCACAACGGTTGAGTGCTGGGTTGCGAGGCTGCCTGCAGCCTCTGCAGCGCCGGTTCGATCCCCGGCTGCTCCCCGGCCACCAGAGGAGGGTCCCACATGGCATGCAGACCTCTCCTGCCGCCTGCTGCTCCCCTCAGCAGTGTACTTCGGTCCTTCTGCCTGCTCTGCTCCCTGCTCTCACCCTCCCGCGCTTCTGACTGTACCCAGTGCTTGTATAAATAAATAAAATAAATAAATAAAAATAAATCCTTTAAAAAAAAAGGGAGTTTCCTGTTTAATAAATCATTTGCATGGTTTTGTTATCAGCAAATGTCTCATTCTGAAAAGGTCAGATTCTGATATTTATAATGATAGCTTAAAGTATTTGCATGTTTTATCTGGTTTATCACCATATAGAAATATTTATTTATGCATAAAATAACTGGGGTACAGGCCAGAGGTGCGGGGGTGAGAGGATTCACCACAGAGTGGGGAACAAAACAGGCAGACTGACTGAAATACACTGCTGAGGAGAGCCGCAGGGGAGACAGGAGAGGTCTTCTGTGCCTTGTGGGTAGCTTCCTGGCCAGCTGCAGATGCTGCTGATAGCTTCACAGTGCTGTGCTTAACCCCTCGTGCCACCAGGGAGGCCCCAATACTTACTATTCTTATTTCAAAAGTAAAGATCTGAATTTTAGATCAGAATAAAGCATAAAGCAAATGGCGCACAGTGTTACTATATGTGAATATTTATTTTTGACTAAGTAATTATATTTCAAGACTGAATTTCTCTTAATTTTATATACGGCTGTGAACTTGATAGTTATTTTTTATAGGCTCACATATACAACAAATCAGTGTTTAAATTGTGATGAAATTTTAATGGATAGGAAAATTCACTTGGTTTAGAGGTGATATATGCATTTTTATGGAAAATGTGTAACATAGTTGCACAGTTTGGAGAAAATTTTGATTAAGAAAGATAAGTACATTCAAATAAATTGTCAACTTATGGTTCATCATTCAAATTTAGGATTCACTTTAATCAAACTAACACAGTATGAAAGAAGAATATTAGGAAATTTTTGTTTCAAATTTGGACCAGTAGCAAATCTAATAATCAGTTGTATTTCTTAGTAAGCACTCATTAGATTTCTTGAAGTGTTTCAAATCTTGAGTAGTTAAAATTCCATTATATCATATTAAGAGTAGGAATCACATTCACAGTATTTTATTTTCCTAAAGAACTAACCTGAAGTTTGCAAAGTAAAGGATGACACATTAACTTAATATGATCAGGGCCTCCCCTGGTGGCGCAGCAGTTGAGCCCTGGGCTGTGAAGCTGCCCGCAGCCTCTGCAGCACTGGTTCGATCCCCGGCCGCAGGCGAGGGTCCCATGGCATGTAGACCTCTCCTGCAGCCTGCTGCTCCCCTCAGCAGTGTATTTCTTCGGTCTGCCTGTTCTGTTCCCCGCTCTGACTCTGGTGAATTCTCTCACCCTCCTGTGCTTCTGACTGTACCCAGTGCTTGTATAAATAAATAAATAAACCTTTTTAAAAAAAAGATCAAAATTTGAAAGCTTTAATGTAAAAATTATAAAACAAAGTGCTTTTTTTAAATCCCATGTTGTCAGTCGAAAATACATCTGAATTCTTATTTGTACATAATCCATTTGTGAATCTCCTCCCTCAGAATTCCCTCCCCTATTAAGTGAATTTTAAATAATGAACAAATGTTTAATTTTCTAATGTGTGCAAAGAAGTGGTATTGATGATGGGCCAGAAAAAGTGTAATGATTCTGGATTTAGGTGGGAATTTGACAGAACTGTAGATCCACTTCCGTAAACTGGTGAAACAAGTTCTGAAAGATCTGAATGTGTTCAGAAAAGAAAAGGCAGTGGTTAGTAGCACGCAGTAGGTAAAGATTTATACTGGCGTATTGGGGGAAAAGGAGGAAGTAGGGCTTGGTAGTTGGCTTGAAGATCTAGCCATAGGGGAGGAAGAACAAGCAAGCTTCAGATTTATATTCTCTTGCGAGATACAAGGTGAGGTATTAGTTCCAAAGACAATGAGCTTGGTTATTGGAATTGCTTAGGATGAATCAAGCAGTGATATTGACAAAATGCTGAGTTCCTAAGCTATATCTTAGGACTGTTAGTGGTCCTGGATACCTTTGGTGAAATGAGATTTCTATCTAAATGCATGGTATTTCCTGGTCACAGTCTAGCACACACCCTCTATACTTGGTTCCAGGAGTTTGATGCTTTTATATATTTTTTTGACTGCTGTCTCCTTTTCACAGAGTTCCTCTCCTTTCACACCAGTGCAAGCAGATTACAAGTTTTCGGCATACACTTCTGTTTTAGAAACAAAGCACAGGATCCTTCAGAGTGTTTAGTGCAGTAGTCCCCTTAACAATGGGGGACAAGTTCCAAGAACCCTAGTGGATGCATGAAACCACTGATAGTAAAGAACCCTATATATGTTTTGTTTTTTCCTATACACATGTATGTACCTATGATAAAGTTTATATATTATGCATGATAAGAGATTAGCAGCAATAGTTAATAAAATGGGACAATTACAAAAATCTGTAATAAAAATTTGGGGAATCAGTCTCAGACTACCTTACTGTAGGTAGTGTTTCCCAACTATTGATTAACCAAGGGTACATGAAGCCATGGGATGGGAAGCTGTGGGTGAAACAGGGGACT